AGACGTCAATATGGACAATACCGAAAGCCATATCTTTGGCAATAGTTGTCCGATTCTTGAGCGGACTACCTTAAATGATATGTGGATCCATTCTTCATCAATCTGCATCAAAATCCAGGAACAAAATATTTTTTAGATTTTTTGTCAATTTTTCTGGGTAGACCCCTTTGAAAATGGGGGAAATGCTTGAGACGTCAATATGGACAATACCGAAAGCCATATCTTTGGCAATAGTTGTCCGATTCTTGAGCCGACTACCTTAAACGATTTGTGAATCGATTCTCTATCAATCTGCATCAAAATCCAGAATCAAAATATTTTTTAGATTTTTTGTCAAATTTTCTGGGTAGACCCCTTTGAAAATGGGGGAAATGCTTGAGACGTCAATATGGACAATACCGAAAGCCATATCTTTGGCAATAGTTGTCCGATTCTTGAGCGGACTACCTTAAATGATTTGTGGATCCATTCTTCATCAATCTGCATCAAAATCCAGAATCAAAATATTTTGTAGATTTTTTGTCAAATTTTCTGGGTAGACCCCTTTAAAAATGGGGGAAATGCTTGAGACGTCAATATGGACAATACCGAAAGCCATATCTTTGGCAATAGTTGTCCGATTCTTGAGGGGATTCTTCTTAAATGATTTGTGGATCCATTCTTCATCAATCTTCATCAAAATCCAGAAACAAAATATTTTTTAAATTTTTCGTCAATTTTTCTGGGTAGACCCCTTTGAAAATGGGAGAAATGCTTGAGACGTCAATATGGACAATACCGAAAGCCATATCTTTGCCAATAGTTGTCCGATTCTTGAGCCGACTACCTTAAACGATTTGTGAATCGATTCTCTATCAATCTGCATCAAAATCCAGAATCAAAATATTTTTTAGATTTTGTGTCAAATTTTCTGGGTAGACCCCTTTGAAAATGGGGGAAATGCTTGAGACGTCAATATGGACAATACCGAAAGCCATATCTTTGGCAATAGTTGTCCGATTCTTGAGCGGACTACCTTAAATGATTTGTGGATCCATTCTTCATCAATCTGCATCAAAATCCAGGAACAAAATATTTTTTAGATTTTTTGTCAATTTTTCTGGGTAGACCCCTTTGAAAATGGGGGAAATGCTTGAGACGTCAATATGGACAATACCGAAAGCCATATCTTTGGCAATAGTTGTCCGATTCTTGAGCCGACTACCTTAAACGATTTGTGAATCGATTCTCTATCAATCTGCATCAAAATCCAGAATCAAAATATTTTTTAGATTTTTTGTCAAATTTTCTGGGTAGACCCCTTTGAAAATGGGGGAAATGCTTGAGACGTCAATATGGACAATACCGAAAGCCATATCTTTGGCAATAGTTGTCCGATTATTGAGCGGACTACCTTAAATGATTTGTGGATCCATTCTTCATCAATCTGCATCAAAATCCAGGAACAAAATATTTTTTAGATTTTTTGTCAATTTTTCTGGGTAGACCCCTTTGAAAATGGGGGAAATGCTTGAGACGTCAATATGGACAATACCGAAAGCCATATCTTTGGCAATAGTTGTCCGATTCTTGAGCGGACTACCTTAAATGATTTGTGGATCCATTCTTCATCAATCTGCATCAAAATCCAGGAACAAAATATTTTTTAGATTTTTTGTCAATTTTTCTGGGTAGAACCCTTTGAAAATGGGAGAAATGCTTGAGACGTCAATATGGACAATACCGAAAGCCATATCTTTGCCAATAGTTGTCCGATTCTTGAGCCGACTACCTTAAACGATTTGTGAATCGATTCTCTATCAATCTGCATCAAAATCCAGAATCAAAATATTTTTTAGATTTTTTGTCAAATTTTCTGGGTAGACCCCTTTGAAAATGGGGGAAATGCTTGAGACGTCAATATGGACAATACCGAAAGCCATATCTTTGGCAATAGTTGTCCGATTCTTGAGCGGACTACCTTAAATGATTTGTGGATCCATTTTTCATCAATCTGCATCAAAATCCAGGAACAAAATATTTTTTAGATTTTTTGTCAAATTTTCTGGGTAGACCCCTATGAAAATGGGGAAATGCTCCAGACATCAATACCGAAAGCCATATCTTTTCCAAGAGTTTTCTGGTTCTTGAGCGGAATACCCTAAAAGATTCATGGGGGAATCTCATGGATATGAGACGACAATATGGCCCACGCCGTAGCCCATATCTTTGCTACTAATCACCCGATTGTAAAGCAGAATACATACCTTAAATAATTTGTGAATCGATTCTCCATCATATATTTGTTTTTTTCAAATTTTTTGCAGAAACTTTTTAAAAATGACCTTTTAGCAAAAAAATAGCAGAAAATATGACTCTAACAAAGGGAAAAATGCATGGGAGAGCCTGTGTTCCCTACCTCTGCTTATAAAAATAATCTGACTTTCATTGATTATTCAAATTTGCATCTGACACCCTTTGTTGAAGATGTTTATAATTATTAATGTCATGATAAATCCGATTAATGAATGGAATTCTTCATTGGGAATCATTCGTTTCAGATCAGTTTCAGGCTCTATTTCTCTTTAAGTTTCTGCAAAACGTTAAATTAATTGGAAATCCGAACCCTTGCTTTTGGAAATTTCGAATCGGATTGCAGATGCCCGGAAGATGTTGTCGAACTCGAGTGGATTCGAATATCAGTTAACTGCGTCCAGTGAACACAAACTATGCCGCCGGCTGGCCGATATAGTATTGCATCTTTAAATGAAGCCTGTGTGGCAGGGCGGCCATTATGCAATCTATGCAATGGCAGGTCCGGAATATTATCTAGTGCTTATCGCTCACTCAGTGCTCGCCCACTGATGCATAATACGGGGGCACACACGCTACATGCACACATATGCTGTGGCAAGGTTGCAAGATAGTGGGTTATTTGTCGTTAATATGCAAACAGTTAACTACGCCCGCCATCCATTACGACGTGTGTGAGGGGGAGTGTGGGCGAATGCGCACACATTTGTGGGCTTGTGTCCGCGTGTTTATTGCATAGCTTATCGGAGCTCACATAGAGCCGGGTTCAATCACAACCGGAAGCGGAAGTTAATTGAACACAATGTTTAATGCAGCCAATAGTTGATGGTTTAAGCACTGCCCCAATCACAACAACAATTAGCGAATGCAAATATTGTCAGCCAAAGCTTACGAATTCCAAAAAAAAATGGTCCTATTTTGCGAAGCTCGCAGCAGAAGGGAGAAAAGTAATTTGTCGCTAACCAAGTGTGTACTAACCTCATTTTACTAAAAGCATTAAAAATAAAATGTAATCACATGCTTCATAAAAGTAATAACTATACACACATACACTGGGACAAGCATAGACACACACGGCTCTATCATAGACAGGAACGAGCTTCCTGCACTTCAAAACGTGCCTGACTACGTGTCGCTATAAAAGTCCTTCTCTATGCTCCGTACGAGTTCCACTCTAACATGTCAGTCATTGCCAAGAAGCAAGGAGGCTGCCATTCTCTCCATTGTCTATGTCAAAGGACTCGTCCTAGCATCCTGGCATTGGGGCAACGTATCCTGCCTGCTGGCGTCTATGGACATTAATGTGCGTGAGCACATCTGATTTTTATGAGACGATTATGAGTTGCCTTTTATTATTTGCCATTGGCCCAAAGTGTTGCCGCAACCACAAGACTTACACGAGCTCGAACCTAGCACTTCCTAGTGATCGAATATTTGTCCTGGAAGGCATTCCCTGGACACATAATCTTTCTTTGATGAAAAACTGAAAAAGGCCAATTCGAAATTGGAATGAGGACACAAACTAGCAGGTGAATGCTCTAAGCCGATGCAGCTGCAGGAGGTGTCATTAAGCTTTCATCAATGCCCGAAATGCAAATCCCAAATGACTTTACAGTTTCTCCTACAGTTGCATTGGACAAAAATTCTTTAGACTTAGGAAATATTTTTATCTTAGCTACTTCTTACGACGAGACTAAAATGATTTCTCAAATCGCAATTATTAAAAAATCTTATACAAGCCAATGGGTTGTCAGGCTTATCCCAAAGATTCTTGATTAATTTCTCCCAGTGCCCCAATTCTGATGAAAGAAGGCTTTAAGCCATTTCTGAATTGTGCCTGAAATCCACTGTGTCAAGTGTCAGAAAGCTCGTTAGGAGCCGTAGTAGAAGTTACCGAGAGCATTGTCATGTTGCATGCGACAGCAAACAGTTGCACTTTATCGAGAATCTTCATTTGGCTTACTTTCACTGGAGGATTTTCTTTTATGAAATTTTGAAGCATCCTTCAAAATGAAAAATTCATCTTGATTAATGAATGGCCTAGCAATATTTTCCGACGAATTTGCCGCCTTGTCTGAGATACAGGCTTTTGGTATTATTGGTTTCCAGGCGCTTCAATTCGATCTATCATAAAATGTTGATGTATTTTTTGATTGAAGCACTGTGGAGAGAATTAGTGCTTACTCGTGCGGACATACTAAGAAAGTTCAAGTATTATGCATGCTCACTTGCCCACATCAATTACCAGTGTGAAAAATACCATTTCTATATTTTATTAAATTCTAGTCGGTGTTCCAGAGGAATCAAATACTAAACACTTATTAAATTTTTGGAGTCGTAATCTTTTCAGTGTACTCTTTGCTCACACGCTTGCCCACGTTTAGACCTCTGACAGATTGGCCATGCGTGCCAAACAAACCCAAAACATTTCCCCAACTTTCTCCATAACCTCCTAAAATAACAACACCCCCATTCTCAGGACCGTCCTGGGCAAACGGTCAATGTCCGAGGGCGAAAGTTTATAATAGAATTTTTAAGCATGAATAATTATGTGAGTAAGACTCCTTGCCAGCTGCTGCTGTTGCCGCTGCGCTGATTGGCCTCGTTGTCCTTCTTTGATTATGCACGGGCAGACATCAAATTTACTAATTATGGTAATTGATTTTAATTTAATAAGCACGCGACTAGACTGCCCAACAACGTGCCATTTATTTGGGTTCAAACGTCGTAAAGTTTTCTGCATGTTTCTTGAGTTTGCTGGCCATGAGGTTCATGCTGAACTGGATGCAAATTACAATGTAGCTGACCATTCCAAAAATAAACTGTACAAATTATTTATGAAAAATAGATGAAACTAACAGATTATCAGACTTGACTTTGGAGACTTGACCTCACCTTTCCCAGCATTTCTGTGCTGACTTCCACCAATCCTGCGGCACTGAACCTGCACTTTTCCTGTCCCAACTGCATACAGAGTCGGTTGAGAGCGGCATTAAGTTGGCGGTTCCTCCGATCTGTAGTGACCGTGTAGAACAAGAAGCGAAACCTTCGTTGCAATACATCACAGCGAGTACAAATCCAGCAGGGTACCATAATTTCCAGAAGCTTGATGCATTCGTCTGTGGCACAATCTGCAGCAGAAGACAATATATTCTGTGATCTTGAGAAGTATTTTAAAGGTAAAGTATCCAAGGGACGGTTACTAACACCAAACATTTGCATCTTTATTCTGCCAAAAAATGTTGAAATATAACCAGTATGGCATTGCAAAACAATGCACGAATGTCCTGCATATTATTACGAACAAGCTCAGCTGAAAGGAAGTCTCCACACACCTTATAGATGCCCAGAGTAGACCATGTACTTTTTGGAAGTGTCTCAACTTTTCCAGAGACAGACGTCGAATAGACAACGCCTCAAATCGAGTTTGTTGAAGTTCATTAACGATGTTTGATGCGACCTCGTTGAGTTCATGGTGCAAAGCCCATACCACGCAACAGTACAAATTAAACTCCGTCAATCGCAACTATATTGCCACATTCGAATACATGATGTAGTAACTTATCTCAAAGCTTTCGAAACCAGTTATTATAATATATATTATGAAGCATAAAAGCCACAATATATAGACAACATTGCAATACTTGCGAATGCGGTTCAGATTCACCAGATGGCAAAAAAATTGATTTAAATAAATTATAATCCCTTCAAAGTGTTTCTCAATTTCCTGGCTGCCATTTTTCCATAGTAATTCCAAAGCAACGACGGCATGACAAGTGATTAGGGTGGAAAAATGCGCCACATCGAAGAGTTTCGAAAATTCGTCAAATATATTTAGGTAGGCTAGTTTATACTGAAAACCAGATCGCCAGTATATGAAATATATCATGACGATGAGAAGAACTAGATGGCAAACCACTTTTGAAACCAGAAAGTTTTTAATTGGCAGCATTCCTAAGCACTTCATTAGGAACCGAATGCGGAGCACCGAGGCACTGTGTAGTTCTTCGGAATTTGGACTCATGACTGAAACAGTGTTGGATTAACCTCAACGCCGACACTTAGTAAATTACAAATTTTTGATTATCAGACAACTGGGGCACTCGCGTCAAAGTGAATTAATTGAAATGTCATGATAGAGACTAAAAAATAGATTTTCAAAACTTAATAAAAAAGGTACTAACAATATTGAATCGTTATGTCCGATTGCTGGACGATTCCCAGGTACATCCAATAGGGCAGGGCCGAGGTGTCCACAAAGAACTTCACCAGCACTGTGATGAGACTCAGCTTAAAGTTATGCTCTACCCTGCGAATAGTTTGCCAAAGTAATCCATGGATTTGTTGCATTCTTTCCAGCTTTTTTATCGTTAACTGGCGGATGGCCCATGGTTCGTACTGGGTTTTCTGTAGTTCCTCCAGAAGATTTGAGCCAGCTAATACAAGTTCTTGGTAAAACGCCAAAATCACAGCACAGTACAGCGTGAACTCTGAAAATCTCGCCAGGGAGACTAGCTCCGAGTAGAGGGCGTAGTATGTCAGGGCTCTACTATTCCACACCGTCACACAGCAAAAAACGAAACATCGAATGAATAATGAAGCATAAATGGGTTTGCAGTAGCCACGCACCCGTTGTAGGTCCACATTCTGGCCGAGGTGGGCTTTCAACTTAAAACGTATCTCCTCGAGGTGGTTATCTATTTCCTTGTAGTGATTCCACCATATAAGTTCCATGCCGATAATAAAATGAGTTGTGGTCAGGCCTACAAAGTCGCTCAAGTCAATGGTGCGCGAAAAGGTGTCGTTCATAAAGTCGTAGGTGAAATCGTAATTAAAGGTGAATCGAAAGTAGGCGGACACCGCAATTGAAACTATGAGCCACAGATTACAGATTAATTTTGGTAGAAGATGATTCGAATAGGGTAACATTCCAAAATACTTCATGGCACGTCGCATCCGAAATAGCGAGACAGCGTGTATTTCTCCGGAAACTTGATCCATGACTGAACCCCTGAATAGAAGCCTTTCTATTGGACTTTCTAACTAATTGGCTAATTAAAGATTATCATTGAAATGTGGTCAATTATGAAGAAATGGACATTAAGGGATGAGCTCCCCTTTCTTTTTGTAACACCTGAAATACGTTTTATATTCCTGTGGACCTTTTCACGAAAAAAAAACGTATTACAATTCTATTTTCATCTTACATCTGCCAATTAAGACATTTTTATTTTGAGAAACATTTCAATTTGCCCTCCTGCCTGGCTGCTGATAAGATTATTTTTGTAATCGCCCAAAATGACACATTCCCCATTCAAATTATCATCAAAGTGATGCCGAGACTAAGTGGAAGCAGATGCCCCAGTGCCCATAAGTGAAATGATTTGTTAATTTCATTTCGCCACCACTCATTCCCATCCTCATACTCATACTCATACCCATACCCATTCATATTCACACCAACTTGGGGGCGATGAAAATTGCTTATCAAAAATATGGCACGAAGGCGTGGTTTGGGGGGTGGCGCACATAAATTTGCATGCCTTTATTGCAACCACAACGAATTGCGGAGCTGGGAAGACAGACTTTGGCAAACAAACGAGGAAATGTACACACACGCACGCAGAGGCGCCACAAACACATACACTCCCACACAGCCCGGCACAGACACTTACGTCCGCTTTACTGGTTTTTATGCAACCACCGTGGCACTTTGTTTGCACACTTGTATAACACCTGCAGAACGAACGCCTTTGGCGGTGGAAGTAGCAAAAGCACTGACTGTGTATATACGAAGTAATGACTTAATTGCCTCGCTCTCAAAGCTCCCCAAATCCCCAACCACTGCAGCGCCGGGCCAGTGAGCCACTGAACCACTGAGGCACTGAAGCACCCAACCCGGACGATTGATCCAAAACCGCTGTCTGAATGGTGGTGCCTGCAAGAGGGCTTCATAATTCTGCACAGGTGTCGAGGGCGCTTTGTCTTTGATTGTTCGTCTGGAGCGACTCTAATCTCTGCCAGCCACACCATCAGCAGAGGAAGCAGAAGGACTCCATGTCCTGTCTAGCGTTAGGATACTCAGCAGTTGGTTTGGGAGCCACTTCAAACTCATAGAAGGAGCTAAGGAGTCTCTGGTCTGGGTTCAATTGAAGCAATTGTGCGGCGTTGATTTGTATAATTTTGTAATTTGTATACCGAAATTGTGGCCACACATGTGTGTGTGGCGGTGGGTGGGTTGGTGGGTGGGGGCAAAACCATTTCGCTGTTTTGGGGGTAAAAACGTGTATAAATAAATTAAAATGTATATTACCATGTGTTCTTGTAAGGGGCGATGCAAAAGTTTTTTGAAATTCAAGATTTTGGCATACCTAAGGTTTCATAATATTCCATTTTAACAATTAAACAAATTGTAAATCTGAAAAATATGTTGGTCAAATTTCTAAAAAAAAGTTCTGTTGATTACGTTTTGGGTAATCTAATGTATATTACTAATGGGATGTGTTCTTGTAAGGGGCGATGCAAAAGTTTATTGAAATTCAACATTTAAACTATTAAAAAAATGTAAATCTGAAGAATATGTTGGTCAAATTTCTAAAAAAAAGTACAGTTGATTAGATTTAGGTCTTTCTTTAACCAAAGCCCAATAAAAATACTAGAAACACACCTTTAAGGATTCATTATGAATTAGGTAAGATACCCATTTTCATTATTGGCAGTGCGGTTTACATACTCTAGAATCTACCCAATCGGACCCAGTTGCTAAATGTAATTATCGAAATACTTGCCATGGGCTTAGCATCTATATGGTTATGATATGCCATAGGCAACGTAAGGCATTAGTAAGTGCCCTGCACGTGGCCACAAGGACCGAGTTTGCTGACTTTGAGTTTCCGGGAAATGTGTGTGTTTGTTTGCCTTGGTTTGGTTTGGAGTTTCCCAGTGCCTCGGATGACTCTGGTTTTGTAATTCTGATGCGGATGGCTGAACATCAGACACGCGCCTCTGCCACAGATGCTGGTGACGACTAACCCAGCCCATAACCCGGACAAACTGGAATCCGGCACTCTGACTCCAGAGTCCGGATCAACTCATATGTGGGAGGCTCTAATGTAAGTCATTTCGTGTTATCTGATTTTAATTTGGCGCAATTTCCCTTTTCGCACCTGTTGTGACCTACCTGAGCGGCACTCACTCCGCTTCCCAGCCTCCGGCTTGCCATTAAAAATATGCAAATATAAATATGCTAATTTGCTGAAAATTGATTTTGCAATTTAATTGAAAATTCCAGGGCACACTGGTTTGTTGTAATTGTTGTTGCCATTGTGGTTGTTTTTGTGGCGGGGTGGGAGTGGGAGTGTGTTACATGAGTCTTGTCGCTGCGGTTGTTCGAACAGCTGCCACAAATTGCATAAATACGAACAATACTCCCAACATTTCCACACTTCCCCCAAAACATTTCCAACCTTCGCACATCATTTGCAACTTTTTGAGCTGCTAGCTGCTTTTAATGGCATTAAAATTGCCAAAATTACAACACGCATCACACACAGCCTGTTCTGCTCAGATCTGCTCTCTTCTGGACCCCCCAGTTGAAAATCAATAGAAAGAAAGTTCAATGCGACGATTCAGTGCCCCAGTATTAGGAGGCACTCCCTGACAAATGTTGCGCCTGATATATGGCCCCAGACTGGCTCAATAAATTCCATGTCGCTCTCCGTGTTGATTTGCAAAAATGTCAAATGTGGGGCAAGTGATAAATGTGCGGCATTTGGCGAGCAATGCAAACATGGCACCTTAAACTACAATCAAAAATAATTGCATTTTTCACAACCCAATCATTATGAGAAATGTTTCAGGGGGAAGTCGAAAAAAAAAAGAAATAATGATATTGAAAAAAAGCATCAAAGCAGAGAGAAGCGAAAAAGCTGGGCGAAGAAGTCAAAAGTCATGACAATCCCGGCCAGACAATTGCAAAAAGTCACTGGAATGGCAGCTAACATGGCCAGCTAAGTGATAACAACACACAAGCCCACACATACACCCATGTGTGTGTGTTTGGCATCACACTTCGGCAACATCATTTATCTTGTCTTGGCAGCCAGCGAGTCCTAGTCCGAGTCCGAGTCGATGTCGAAGTCGCCTGCAGTCTGAGGTCCTGGAGCTCCAAATCGGACAGGACCCCGCTCACTGACCGAGACAACAACTAAAAATATATTTTCGCCATTGCTATTTATTGCCGAATTGGCTTATTTTCTTATTTCTGTTCGGTGCGGAATGTTTGGCTCTATTTCTCACTTTAATTGGCAAGGTTAAGCGCGGGTGGAGAGTTCATTGAAATGAACCCTAGATTCACTTGTTATTCGATCGCATATTTTTATATTCCTCCTACCCAGCCAAAAGCCAGAAGAAAGAAAAAAGGTCACTGTGACAATTATCAAAGCAGAGTTGTAAAAGTTTTCATGCTTTGGTGGGGATTTGAAGCGTAATGACAGCTCAGTTTTTGTGTTTCTGTTTGCGTTTTCTGCTTTTCGGGTTTTCTGCTTTTTGGGTTTCATTCCGTTGTTTTGGCCGCCAGACGTCGCAATTAGGCCAGCAAATGTGGCGAGCAAAAGCCGAAATTGCCATCGGCAGAGGGCAGTCCTCCGTCCTCCGACCTACGCCATTCCGTCCTCCATTGCCAGAACAAGGACACATCCTTTGGGGGAAAACAATTGAAGATTTATTGTCCCTCGGCGCATTCTTTTGGCACTGCCAATGTGCAAATTTGCGTTGAAATATATTCTCGCCGAAAAGTTGTGTAGGCAGCGCATAGAAGTATTCTATACTTTTCCCACAAATCATAATCGATTCATTGACAAGCCGATGTCGACGCCCCATTCTTGCTTTCTTTGGTTCCATTTTACTTAAAGTTAAATAAAGTATTAAAGGATTTTCTTTCTGACAACTTTGTTTTATTTTCCATTTAAGGAGCGAACAAACCAAATTAAAAAGGAATAAATACTCTTAGAAGCTTATAATAAATCATAAATTGTATTCAAAACTAAATTTCTTTTAAAAATGTATCTCATTAAAGCTACTAACTATCACTTTACTTTGTATTACAGGTCTGAGACAATTTGCGCAGACAGGATTAGCCGACTTCACGCCAAGTGGTGTCAAGGACAAGCCAAACTTATAAGCCGATTTCTTTAAAAAATATACATACATATATGTAGAAGCATGCTGTCTTTCAGGCGACAAAAGTCTATTGAATATTCAGCATTGGTTGCAAAATTAAGACTGAGGACCCTGAGACAACAAACAGCTCAGGTGACTGCCACGGTGACAGCATTATATTCTGGTGCTAAAGATTTTTACAAGCGCGCTGGTATGGGTGTTCTCTCAGATACAGATACAGATACAGATACATCTACAGCTACAAATCCAAGGAACACGAGGCGGCTACAGCTCCGCTTAGCATTGCTCCTTATTGCTGTTTACCATATTTGCGCTTATTTGTTTGTCGACTGTGGCAAATATTTGAATTCAAATTCAAACGTGCTTGACACATAATACTCCGCCCGGAGCCTCAGTCTTCGTAGCCTATTTCGCTCCGCAAATATTTTATGAATTTCAATGCGCCACCAGCGTCAGGGTGTGAGATGTGTGGATGTGAGCCGAGGTTAGGTGCAGCTGGAGCAGGAGTACCTGAAACCGGCAGGTGACACAAATGCGACGGCGAATAAAAGGCAACAAAATGTGAAATTAGTTTGACACGTGTACCTCGGCATAAAAGAATAAGAAATAAACTCACAAACACGAGTACAAAATCATCTCGGCTCAGACAGTTGCAGAGCTTTAGTCCTTGAAATAATGTCGGTTTAAGGAATCTACGCGAAGAATGCAGAAATGCTGACAGGGAATTCAAGTAACTCAGGGCTGGAGAAAGGCTGGTTTGCCACGGCGCATTTTAAAACGAAAATGAAGCTAATGACTTGGTATGTTTATCGGAGAAGATT